CCCGGGGTTCCCCCCCGTTCCCATCAAAGGAAGGGGGGCCCGAAAAAATTTTTCCAAAAGACACAAAGTAAAAAAAAGGGGTGGGGGGGGGAGGTTGGGGCCCCCCCTCCCAAAATGTTTATTTGGTGGCTGGGGGCCCGGTAAAGAAAAAATGGGGGCGGGGGGAAAAAAACGGGAAATGGTTGGTAGATAAAAAAAAAGGGTTGTTTTGGGCCCCGGGGCCCGCAGGGGGGAAAACCCAAGGTGCTTTTTTGGCCGGGTCCCAACGGAAGTGGGTTTAGGGGTCGGGGCCCAGCTTTCGGGGGGCCCAGCGGGAAGGGGGGGGAAAATGGTTCTTAAATTTTCCCTGGGGGGGGGTTGGTTTTTTTGTTTTGGGGAAAAAAGAGGAAAGGAAAATTTTTTTTGGAAGTTGCAGGAAAAAAAAAGGACCCCTTTGCCGGGCAGGGGAGAATAGATTGGGGTAGTTTTTGAAATTGGTAGGGGGGGGAAATTTTTTTTTTTTGTTCCCCCCCCCCCCCCCCCGATTGATAATGGACCGCCTTCGCGAGACGTTAAGTTTATGAGGAAGTAGAACAGGGACGGGGTACGCAGACCCGATCCCTAACCCTACCCTAACCCAACTTCCCTGATTGCATACTTTATTCAACATTTTTTCTTAATACAAAAGCCCCTACGAAGGCTACGGGGAAGTAACCCTTCAATGCAGCCGTAAGCGAGCGAGCTGCAATCTTTTACAACTTGGAGATCCTGGCCCGTTTTTTTTTCGTTTTTTCTTGCACCATCGACCTTCGTGACGACCGTCGCCAACACACGACGCTTGTTCGTCTCGAGACTCTGCTCACCACCAAAGTCTTGCCGCAAGAGAGAACAAGCCCCACCGCCCCCCCTCTCGCCTGCGCTGCCGTCATTTCGTTTTACCCGAACAAAAAAAATAGAAATTCCGTTTTCCGAAGGGGCACAAGCGGCGCAACCCACGGGGGAAAACCACCAGCCGGCGAGGAGGAAGAGCTGCTGCGACTCAAGCTTGCTAGGGCGAGGGAACAGGCGAACCGAACCCGTCGATAGCACCGACTACGAAGCACCCACTTCCGCTCTAGAGCGTGTGGATGAAAGCGCCGTTGTGCATACATACGTAGCGAGATGCGTGGGGTGTCCAAGCGTGTCAAGGGTAGGCTGAAGTCTAACCGCGAGACAGGCGTAAGAGAAGGGGGGCTTTAAAAGAATTGCGCCTCGGCGGCGGAGCACCGTTGTGTGCAACCAACTGATCGTGCGCTTGCAAACAGGGTACATGTGTAACACGACACTGCGCCATGGCGCGTTCGGATTATGGAAGTATCATCGAGCGTCACGCGGTACGTGTATGTTGAGTTCCTCCGGGATGACAAGCGATGCCTCCCGGGAGGGGGGCTCCACCTGTTCCTGGGAGTGGGGGGGGGGCTTGTCAACAAAGGCACAGAAAAAGCGGCGAGATAGCCAGCGGGGTGTGTCCCGGCTTGGCGTCGACGGTTTCTACTGCTCCTGTGAGCGTCGTTGTCGTTTGTTGAGGAGAGGGGGGGGGGTTGAGAGGGGTAACCGGGGCATGTGTGTGTGGAGAAAGAGGTAGCGCCGGTGTTTCCCCCTTGCCAGGGCGCGGATCGGACGCTCGCCATGGTGAATGCGCGCCAACGCCGTTTACGTTCGCCCCATTCTTCGTTCGCCACAAATAGACATCCGTCGAGAAAACCCCACATCCTTGATCCTACCGAATTCCCGGCGGGTCCTTGACGGCGGCCCTTGGTTGCTTGTTTCATTCCCTGCATTAATCGGTAGGAGACTGCTGTGTGTCGCAATGTGACGAGACAACTACTGAAACACCTCTCAACAGCTTCTTCGGGTGCCTTTGGGATCCGATTTGGCGAGGAAAATATTTTCCAATGTCAGGAAAATAACCAACGACGGATCGCAGGGGGGTGTGTGGCGGGTCCTTTACCATCTTCCAGACGATTGGCCGATTCGAACGATCGGCTGCCTTTCGTGGCTACCAACAGATGACGAGCTGGCGTCGCCTTTCGCCTGTGAATGGGAAAACAACATAACAGCAGTGGAAGCAAGGGGGGCAGGGGGGTCCACTGAGGAAGAACGTTTCGAAACAATGTTACTGTAAGGGAGTTTGTCGCTCTGCCTATTTGTGAGGGTAGCAGAAGCGGAACGGTTGGTTGGCGAGCACTTATTTTTTCTGTCGGGTCTGATGGAGGCGTGTCGTGAGGCACACAACGCGAGCCAGAACGGAGCTGGCGCCCGCTCAAATCCCACAATACACCGTCTTCATCCGTACGCGCGTAAGCGTTTCCCGTATTTTGCTGCACTGAGACTGGTGCATTTTCATTGGCCAGTCGGTGAGCGAAACCGATTCTAGGAAACAGCACACCCACACAAACACACACACATATTACACGAGCCTTCTCCGACACCGACCATTTCCCCCTCCCTCTAGACTATATAGCTTCTCTCACAATAGAGTCGAGAGCACCCTCGGTGTAGTCGAACACTGGCGGGTCGTGCTTGGCCAATCGAGACAGCGCCCTCACGGTGAAGTTTTCGTCCCAGCAACCGGACTCTTCGGGAAACCTTGGGCACCTGAAACGTTTTTTCGGTTTCAGTTCAAACTGCAAAAGAGATAACGTGCAAACTCCGCCGGCATCGGTGAGCAGGTACATGGCAGATGGGGAGGGAGGCGGGAACTTCGTTTTTTGGTCTCGAGGGGTCTCACTGTAGGAACGTTTTGACAGAGCGAGTGCCGCCCGCCTGCGTGACAGATTCCCGTTGTTCTATCGATGCAGAGGCGACCTGTTTCCATGTTTGCTGGCGCAGTGCAAGGGTCTGCTTTGTGGTGGTGTTGTTTCCCTTCCGCAGGTGATTCTTCTGTTGGCTGACAGGTGCTCGGGGCGTGTCGAAGGTCGACGACACTCATATCTCGAAAAATTCAAAGTAGCAATGACATGTGGTAGGAACAACGAAAACACTTTAATCGAAAGAGAGGTGACTATCGCCACCTAGAAGTGTTGCCGAGGGCATTACACTCCGACGAAGGGTCCTACTAGACTTACAGGGTTTGGTGATATCGAATTCGGCAGACACCCTTGAGGGGGGGGGGGTTGGGGCAGGGCGGGAGGTCACGACGTGTTTGCGGCTCGATTTTTGAAGTTTTCCCGTCGAGTTATCGCGTGTGTACGCCAAACAACCACAAGCTCTTCCTCGAATTGACATCTGGCAAGGAAGGCAAGGGTCACACCGCACCCTTAGGCTACACGTAGTCGAAATCTGTTGCAATCGCACCTATTCCACAACACCGAAGCAGCAAAAACGGTTCACATACTTATTCGTTGCTCACTCCTCCTACAGAAATCTCCAACCTGACCGCTGTCGACCTAAACAGAAGATCGGTTTTCAACACGTTCTTACGTGGCAAAAGTGGATCTTGGACGTGCCGCCGTCCCGCCGCCGCCACCACCTCCACCGACGGCAGAGCCTCGTGGTTTAGCAGTGCGACTTCTAACGAGACGACGCTCACGCTTCCACGCCGCTGTCCCGGCGTCACCGCCAGGCGGTCGATCACCCGTCACGCCGCCCCCGCTCCCGATCCCACAGCCCTCCCCAGTCCCACCCGTGCTGTTGTCTTTATGCCTGGCCCGGTCCCGGCTGCCGCGCCCCTTCTCCCCTCGAGCGAGTGCCGTTCCTTGTCCCTCTCTCGGACCCCCGTCCTTGCTGTGGTTTGGCTGGTGGTGCTTCACCACCGCCACGCACTTGTTCGTCGCGCCGAAGGCCGTTCGTGGTCTCCCGCCGAACGACCTGATTTGTACGTGTTGTTGTTGTTGTTGTTGTTGTTGTTGTTGTTGTTGTTGTTGTTGCTGCTGCTGCTGCTGCTGCTGCTGCTGTTGCTGTTGATGTTGGTCTTTGGCATTGTAGTGGTTGTGGTTGAGTTCGATCAACAACATCACTCATATCATCCGTGCGTGAAGCTCCTGGTCACCATGTCTCAAACCCGCACGCGCAATTTAGCACTTCTGTTTTATCCCTATCAGTCTGGCTGGTACACTCTAAATCACCTGCTGAAATACGGCTACACGTCGTCAGTCGTGACTCCCCCACTTGCATCCACACAGTAGTACCTCTCTTCTGCCGCCCCCCTCCTCCGCCGCACGACGAACTCTTGAGCCCTCTCCCTTGCACGCCTGATGGGATCGAACTCCGGCCTGCTTTCACGCTCCTTGAGGGCCGCTCGGACCCTCTGCGCCCTTCGCCGCTGCAACCGAACAAAGCAATTTCGTTTTCTTACACGCCTGTCGGCAATAGCCTAGGCATACTGTATGTCTTTCTATGTTTTCGAACCTAGCATACCACCGGGGCAATGTCACGTGGGTAGAGAAGGGGGCCGTGATGCTGCTTGTCTGCCTTGACAAGCGACAACAAGGAAGCCAGCCCCACCACTACCAGCGATTCTTTCTAGAACCGTGACGGTGGGTGGGTGACGGGCCCGAATAATCTTTCCGGGGAATCCGAATCGTCTGCAAAGTGTGGCATGGAAGTCAATTGGTGGGAGGGAGTCTAGGGGCAAATATTACCGCGGATGGACGATTGCGGGTGGAGAAAGCAGTATATTACGTATGGCACGAACGAGGTCAGGTCCAAAGTTACAAACTCGTTAGGGATGGAACCGGGTTGCGGTGAAATGTGAGAGTTCCTTGACCTGCCTTCGATCCCTGTCAAAGAATACCTACTTTAGTTCAGAATAGTTGGGGAAGAAATCGTCCCGGCCTAAAACCATGCATGCCGGCCGGCTGATGTCGCTCACGGCCTCGTGGGTGATGGATGTAGCTGTTGCACGATTGTATGCCCGTCCTACAGCAGTAGTGCACCATGGGTTCTCATGAGTAAATGTACAACTAGCCTCGAGAGCCCTCTCTCAACCTCGATCGACGAGAAGATGACAATCTCACACCTGCATTCCGATGTCCAGTGCTCCGAGAGCGATGTACTCCTGCTCCTGCCGTTTGATTCCCTGAGTGTGGTTCAATTTCGAATCGAAGATTCGCAACCAGAACACGCACCGAAAACAAACGTACATAAAAACTGCCGGAGAACAACACCGGCAAACGAGCACAACCAAAAACAGGAGTCTGGGAATGGGCTTTCCAATCAATCATTCTACCAAGATAACTTTCACTGAACGGCGAGCTCAGTAATGCTACCGCCGCTGTTGGAGTTTCACACCGTGCCGGGCCTTACCACGAGGGGGTCGTGGTACTTGGTCTCCCACTCGCGCTGCCAGCGCTCGTTCCAGTACCGCTCAGCGGTGAGATTCTTTAGGGACACGAGAGCCTTGCCGTTGCCGTCCTGTTCCATCATCGGAACTGAAACCAGAACCAGGACCGTCCACCAAACACGCGCCGAGCAGAAACAGAGAAGGAATGCATGAATCAAATTAAGCTGGGCGCGGCCCTCCCCAAGTCTCGTTTAGTGATGTAGCGGCGTTTCTTCTTCCAACCATAAAGTAGAACAGCACCCGTGCGATTGGCATTTATGTCTGAAGTCGTGCGACCAGGTCCCTTTCGAAAGTTCCCCCCTCTCACCGATAGCTTCTACTCTGGGATCGTCGTCGGGAATGCAGGTCCGGCGGCTTAGCTGGTCGTCTGGGTCGATGGCCGTGGGAGCGGCGTTGAGCAACACCTCCGCTTCGTGCACCGAGGCAGACATGGCCTTGAGGGAGGACCGGACGCAGGCGTGGTTCGCAAGGGCGTGCTTGTGCCCCCCGATGACCTTGCGCACCTCCAGGACGTGGAAGACTCGCTGTGCGAAGCAAGCAAATGTTGTTTTATGAGACGAACATCGTACTGTAACTGCTGAAGTGTGTAGACTACTTTCTGCAGTCCAACCGTTTCGCGTTTGCTTCGCTGCAACATGGAATGTGAGATGTGACAGCTATCTCCTCATTTGGATGAGAACTTTTCGATCCGTACCGCCGTAACTTAGGATGTGAGCATGATGCTTCTTGCCTTTTGATGGAGCTCTATCGTCTGTACAGGGGGATTGACTGCAAATGCGTGCTGCGCGGCGGTGGTCTATGTACAACAGCAGTAGTCTACGTGTTCTGTTCGAGCATGAGATTTTTGTCTGCCAACGACAAGGGTCACAATGCATCCGAGTCCACCGCAACGCCTGGGTTGTGCACGGTGTGGGACTGGCTGTAGTTTTCGGGAAGCTTTCCATCTGCGTGTCGCCCTGTTGCAGGGTCTGTGTCGGTGCAACTACATACAGCTGGCTCAGACTTTTACGTCTTAGTAAATTTCGTGTTGTTCCCTTCACAACATTCAACTACATTGTATCCCAGTCGCCGCCGACACAGGTACTCGAGCGTTAAGAAAGGTTTCCACTACTTGTAAACTGTTGAGGCTCACGGAATATGTTGCATCCACCGCATCGTCCGCCATGGTATCGTTCGCCTGCGTAAATGAAGAGCGACGGCCTTGAAAGTACGAGAGCCGGGTGTGACTACTGTAATATATTCAGCGGGCTCGTTCAAGCTCCTGGGATCTCATTGTCTCATCATGTTGTTGCTGGTGGGGCCAGGGGAACCAAACACCTATTTGGGCTTCCTAAGACAGCCAAGTTTGCACCAGGGCGACACACGGCCTGTCGTATGTACTTGTCAACTTCCTGTGTTTTCGTGTTTTCTGCTGACGACTGTCTCTCTCAATCTCCGAACCGGCAGGTATTCATCCGCGTTTGTTTTCGCTCTGCAGCAGGGCAGCCGCAAGCCGCAAGCTGCCCAACATGCGCGTCGCTGATTTCGCGCTGTACGCTGTACCAATCCCTTGCCAACTGATGTTGGCATGAGTTTTGTCGATCACTTAGGGCAGAAGGGTACACAGTAGCGCGCAAACCGTCTACATTTTGCACAGAAGGCGCGAAAATTCGGCCTGCTGTCTCATGCCATTACTGGCAGTCGACTCTCGCTTTGTCGCCAAATGGGAGAACGGGAGCAGCAAGAGGAAATATCAGACTTGAAGCTTTTTCCCGCCGCCAACCAGAAAATTTGCCTTGGTTGGACATCCAAGAGCATTAGAACCACTGTCTGCAGCTCGAAAACCAAGATGCTACTGCTGTACTTTGTACACCCGCGTACTGCTGCTGTAGTCTTTACACGCATATATTGCCATGCATACAAATACTGTAGAGCCGGCGGTGATATTTCTCTTCTCATCTCTCATGAGATGCAAGAATGATGGCCTGGCTCTATTTTCTATTTTCGGTACGGCGAACCCAGCCTTCAACATCGCCACGCCAAACCGCCCCTCCTACAGCTAACTGCTGTGCCAATAGTGTGGAGCGTCACCTACCTACTTTTTTTTTGTCCTCCAAATCATGCACCGCCATCACCAAGCGAACCAAGGGAAACTTTTCTCGACAGTCAGGGGAGCCCATGCGGAGCAGCAGGAAGCGGCCTTGAGGCTAGTTGAGGCCGACTTTCGCACGGCGTGGGAGGATCTGGAAGAAGGATGGGACCACTTCGAGAAACACCAGATCGAAATCGGCATCGTAAAATCCGCCACATCTTGCGGCGAGGAGAATGAATATGGTGAGCTTGAATGTTGTGGTGGCGAGCTCGTACACGTTCGTCGCGGCATGTTCGAGGGGCAGCCTTTCGGCGACCTGTTTAAGGGTGCGTGGGATGAGCGTGTTCCCCGAGATGCGGCCGGTTACGTGGTGCTGGACGAATCCCCTGCTTGCGTTCAACATCTTGTGCGCATGCTCCTGGCGAGTTCCGTGGAGGCAAGGGTGGACACGCCATCACTACTGGGCGACGACATACCTGCCCATGACACGGCCTACCTTGAGTACATTTCGCATGCCCGTGGGCTACGAGAAGCGCGTGCGAAACCCAAGGTAGGATTACAACCATCCAAGTACCTGGTGGCTCTCGAGCAAGGGAGTTCGTTGGAGTCGCGTGAACTTGGCTAACTGATGATTGCCCTTCGAAGCTGTGGTGCCCGGGCGAGTTTCGCGGAATAGAGCTGATGTACAGTTCCTCCCGCGACGGTATGCGTGTAGAAGCGTTCCACTCTAAGTGCGGAGATGATGACTGTTCAACAGTAACTGTGGCGAAGTGCTTTGGCGACGACTATCCGTCATCACCCATCACCATGGGTGGTTTCTCTACCGCATCTTGGTCTGTAAGATCCGATGGCGCATGCCACTTTATGCATTCAGCGGGGGCCTTTCTTTTCGAGATCGGGGGCACCTTCCTTCCCCGAAAATACGACTTGAGGGAAGAGGTCATGCCGACTACGCGATCTACCGTGGGCCCAAACTTGGCCCCTGTTTCGGAGCGGGCGATATGCACTACACTTTTTTCCAGAGAGGGTTCATGTCGTGATGAAGTTGCCTATGTGACAACCGGAAATCAATCGTATAATGTGCGCCACGGATCTGGGTAACGAGACACCACGACGTGTAAACAGCATCGACGTGTTCCGGGTGCATCATTCCGAAGTTTCAGCCCCTTCGCCCGCCTCCCCCGCCATACCCACACCTACCACCACCGACGACGCACGTTGCGGTATCAACGCCGTGCCGGAGGAAAAGCCCGACGACGCCCAAAATGTTCGGCGTCTCAATCGCCAGCTCTCTCATGGAAGAACGGATGGTGCTCAAACAATCCGAAGTCGAGCTTGCGCGCGCCCAAGAGATGGCTTCAGCAGCCCTCGAAGCCTTGACAAACGTGTACGGTCCGGACATCGCTTCGGGGAAGAAGGACGAGGTCGTGGAGCTCAGCGTGCGTGGGGTCAGGATGACAACCCTTCGTTCGACGCTGACCGCTTGCCCGGACTCGGTGTTCACCACCTGGTTCAACGGAAACTGGAAGCCCACCGAGAAGGATCTGGACAAGCACGGGCGGAGAATGCTGGACTGCAAACCGGCCGTCTTCGCGAAAGTGTTGGACGTGCTGCGCATGAAGAAGTGGGCAGGGTGGGCACCCAGCGAAGACGCGGGGGGCGGAGGTGTGGTCGCGAAGCCGGTCCCCGTTGCCGTTCGACCGGCGGACCGCGCGTGCTTGGAGGAACTCGGGAACAAGTACTTCCCGGGGTGCGAACGTTTCATCATGGACTTGGTGGAGGAGCTGCCGACTGTACCGAACATGGGCGGTAACAAGGCTTAAGCCAACGTCCTATCGAGGGACACGTGGGCGAGTACGGGTATGAGGCAATACGGGATTCATCTCGATCGCCAAGCATGGTATTATTCACAGTTAGTTGGTGTAGGGGGCATGCATCTTGTGCTGCCCACAATAGACGTATGTATCAAGAAATAATTTAAACACACCTCAGTTTGCAAATAATTTGAACCCGGAGGCTTAATCCTGTCGTCCAACTTCCTTCTTCGTGGTCCACCCGCGGGGGGAGCCCGATGACCGTTGTCCAGACTCTAGAAATACAGCGTGTTCACTCTCTTTTCCCGCTAGCAGACTGACGACTCGCCTTTTCATTGGCCAGCAGGTCAGCGCGGTCAAATTTTTCTTGAAGAAGTCACACACGCACATGAACACACACACACACCACACGGCCACCGGTTAGCACGGTCGATACCAATACTTAGACACACACAAACACACCTCCGAAACGAACGCGTGTGCCAAAGTAGCAGTCGGTAGACACGTGCACCGTTTCTGCCTTAAATCCGGAGACTACCTTCGCCTTCCCCAGGACGCCCCCTCTCGGGGTCCCAGATCATGGCCTATAGAGGCGTCTTTTTTCTCACTGAGACTGACGTCCTTTCATTGGTCAGAGGGTTAGCGCTGTTGATCCTAATGTTAAAAACACAAACCTTATCCTTCTTCTGCTACACCTCTCGAGGACCAAGAACGCCCCACCTACACAGCAAGCAGTGATCGATCATCGACTCTCGTCTTGATTTCCCCCCCCCTCCACCCCCCCCAACCCCGTCTCCACATACTTGCACGTCACATGATCATCGCCCACGAAAGCATCACCTCCAATTCGACGAAGCCCATCGCCGCCCTTTCCGACGATTTTCGGGTATCAGCGAGGTATCAGCGAGCGAGGCGGCCTGCTTCTTCATCTTCATCTTCTCTCTTTTATTATTAGACTATTAGTCCTTTTTCGTCGTCTGTATTTATTACATGTTCAACACTGCTCTCCGCCAGAACAGGAATGGGTATTCTGCTCGGGCGGGGGGAAGGGGGGAGGGGCGGGATGCCGTTTGGAACACGGCCTGTTAGACTCACTAAACTACCGTCGGTGGCGAGGCCAAGAGCGGGAAAGAGGTTCTATTCGAGAGGGAGCAACGCGGGGGGGAGCAAGAACGCCGCTGCTACTGCTCATCAAGGATGTGCCCATAATCAATTTCTGCCTTCGCTTGATTCTTGTACCTGCACTCATGTGATATGATGTCGCGCGCCACGGTAGCAGCATATAGTCTGTGTTGTTCGATAGATTCCGGAGTTGGAGGTGGTTTGTGCATAACGTAAACTATGCCTTATATGTAGGGGTTGAACGACGATGATAGTGATTTCTTGCCGTTTTTCGTGACGATTTTTTTGTTGAGAGTCCTCGGGGATCGTATCTCGTACCACCGAGTATGTAGGGGGTACTGTTTTGGGGGTGCTGGGCAGAATACCATGGGGCGCTAGTTGCTCCTACGCGAAAAAGGTACTTGTAGGTGTGATGGACATGGCGCGTGACGTTCTTGCCTCGCCCACGTCTCTCACTCGTCAAACCTTAAACTGGTCAATTTTAATGGATCTTGACTCCCCCGTCTTCTGCGCAAGACGCTCTCGACAAGACCTCGTGAGCTTGATAACGCCGTACACGTGGCGACACCCGAAACAGTGAGAATATTGGCGTCTTGTGTCTGTTCGTAGGTGGTAGTGGTACACGTGGCCACGTCCGTTACCTTGCTCGGCCTGCTGAAGTGAAAGCTGGTATTTCTGCTGTAGGTCGGACAGGGGGGTAATGCGGACAGCATCATCATCGTAACCGTGCAGCTGGTGCACGCAGCAAGCGGAACTTCACGGCACCGCGGATCTGCAATGTTTTGCCTCCTTTATTTGAGATCACTCTGTCTCGTTCGGGATGCGGTCTCCGACCACTCAGGGTGCCTGCATGTCTGTCTATGGAGTGTGAGCGTATGTATTCCGTGTGCGGAATGATCGTGCGAACTCCTGGCGCTTGGCTGAACGCAATACATGGAGACGCACGTTCACCATTTAGACTATTATGAAGCCGAAGAACTTGGCACCCTTCTCCCTGTGTTGTGTTTATCACACTGAAGGCGACAGATGGGGGAGAGTGGCTGGTTGATCGACCGACCCGCTCTCCGGCGCCGCACTCTGTAGGTAGCCACCGACCGGCCGAGTTACCGACTGGACTTGACGAAGGTGGGCGGTTCTTCCAACACGTTCGAGCGTTAGAAAAGCACCTCGGGTGGTGGTATGCATGCAGAAAAACAAGACGACCGTCCGGCCAAAACGCGGTAAAGAACCCTTGGAACAGACACGGTGGTAGCAGTATCGTTATCGTTCGGCAGAAACAACAGCGTTCGTGTTCGCGCGTGTGTCAACCAAACAAGAGACAAGGCGGAGAAGAAGAAAAAGAAAAAAAGAGCACGTCAATATTTTCCGAATCATAATATGGACCAATCTGACCCTCCTTCCGCCCGAAAACAGAAGCAGCCACGGCACCAGCACGATGACAACTACAACACACAGCACGAGCACCGGCAGCAAGGAGGGCCACCACAAGCAAAGCACAACAAAGCAGAGAACGAGGCGCCACCCGACACCACCCGACAAATGCAAGACGAGCGCAGCCTCGACCGTGCCGCCGCGGTGGCTGCTACTGTATGTAGTCTCCATCCTGTCTGCTCTCTACGCACCAGGGCCCCTTCTCGCGAAACAAAAAATAACGACCAGAGAAAGAACGCAAACGAACGGCCGGCCGGATGCCGGCGAAACAGCTAGAGAAGACAGGCAAGTGGTAGGCATCAGTACTAGTACTATTAGTGCCGCGCTTAAAAAAGGGGAAAAAAACACGCCATTTGATAAATTTCATTGCCTTGCAGTGCACCCAAAGAGAGAGGGAGGGCGGGTGGACGAGAGAGCGCACCAACAGACAGACAGACTACACAGCACCCTAAATCATTCGTTTCGACAACGATTGACGACTGCAGTCAAAAGTTCATGACAAACATAAATAGGGTCGTAAAACACTACTGCTGCTGCTGCACAGCGGCCGTGTTTCCAAAGAGGTTGGACCCAAAGCAAGACTCGTGAAAGAAAAAGATGGCGAACTCGCAAGAAAGCTTAGCACCTCCCCCCGCTCTAGTCACCTCTCCGTGTCCCTGCTGGGCAAGCAAGTCTGCGTAATACTCGGTTATTTCATGCCCACACATTTCATCTTGTTCTCTCAAACAAACGGCGTCCCGTCTGGAACGGACGGAGGAAGCTCAGAAAAAAAACAAGTTCGTTCGTCCTAGGGGGACGGCAGACAATACAATATATAGAGGTGATAAAAAAAAAGAAGCCAAGAAGAAGTAAAGACAAAAGAGAGAAAGCATACCAAGACCAAAAAAAAATACAGCTACACAACCGCAAGGACCAACTCCGGAAAAAAAGATGACCGTCTGTATATATAATATGGCATAGTAGTATGGCATATGGTACGAGATTTCGCCGCCTTCACAGCAGACAGCAGTATGGTTGAGGATGGAGTGAGACGAGCAGTTGGCTCTCTTGCTGGGGGACGACTGGCGACGCGACAATGCTCGAAGAAGCACACAGCCGTGCGCTCAGTCACACGTACGAAAAAGGCACGCACGCACGCACTCTTCTTCACTTCTCCGAACGACAGCGTGAACTCTCCCCAACAACAACACGCGTGGAATGGGGCATAAACATCACACGGAACCGACGGCACCTCCCGCGTGCTGTTCGTCGTTACGCCCCCCCCCAGGCACACACTACGCTAACACCACAATCACAACCGTCGCCACCACCATCACTACCAGAAGAAGCATCCTTCTGTGCCCCACGCGCGCACAAAACCTCCAGCTTTTCCACGTGGTTGGGCTTGGTCATTCGAACCTTTAATTGACTTCCTCATTTTCGCGACACACGCGACTAACGCCCCCCCCCCCCCCCCCCCCCCGAACCGGGGCGCCAGGGAAACAAC